ATCTTTGGATATCTGGTTAAATTTTAAACTAACTTTTAACTATTTTTAGTTTACCAAGTAAGGCCCACTGACCTATATAGCTCTTTTTCAGAAGCGACCTGGCCACAAATTATATCTCAACGAAGTGGCTTATCATCCTGTGGAAATATATAGCAGCCAAATACTCTTAAACGCACATTTCTAAATGTGGAGGAAAAAACCAGGAGAAAAAATTCACGCATCCACGGGAAAACATGCACACTTCAAATATAATTGCGTCACGGTTGGGATCGAACCCACGACCTCCTGTATACGAGGCGAGGTAGTTAACATCTCACAGGGTCTGGGATCGAACCCACGACCTCCTGTAGACCAGGCGAGGTAGTCAACATCTCACAGGGTCTGGGATCGAACCCACGACCTCCTGTAGACCAGGCGAGGTAGTCAACATCTCACAGGGTCTGGGATCGAACTCACGAGCTCCTGTCGACCAGGCCAGGTAGTCAACATCTCACAGGGTCTGGGATAGAACCCACGACCTCCTGTAGACCAGGCGAGGTAGTCAACATCTCACAGGGTCTGGGATCGAACCCACGACCTCCTGTATACGAGGCGAGGTAGTTAACATCTCGCCACCACGGCACCCCGTTTGACCTCCAGCAGCATTTGTTTTTGCTAAGCTCGGCCGCAATCCCCAGCACAATGTGAGGGGTGGCCTCACACGCGACGGGCACTTCTCCACAATCGGTCACCGCGTCTGCGCATGCAGATGGAATCATTCACAAGGCGGCAAAACGCTGCACATGTTGACGATTAGGCGCAGGAGTGATTTAGCAAACAGCACACTGGACGGCCCCACCAGCGCTAAGAATACATGTTCACATGTGTGGTTCGTATGTGACGTTGCATAACATTTGTGCGGGGGTATTTCCTGTAAAATTGCTCACCGAACGAGAAACGAGAAACTTGAAAGAATAATTTTAGTTCTCCAGTTATTGCTGTGGCGTGTTCTCAATGTTTTCCTTTCCCTAACTGTTTGTAGCAGTGCTATCATTAATTTATAAGCAGTATTCGAAAACCATATGCGGGCGGTCCTTTGAGTCCAATCAATACATGTATTAGACCTTAAAAGTAAAATCTCCTCCAGCTATGCACTTCACGACTCACTCTCTTGAAGTTTACAAGCCCGCTAATAGCACAACTCTTGACGGATTTCACGAGCCGATGTTGAATTTTAAATGTATAAGCGACGCCGTTCGTTTAAAGATTCACAAATTACCGTATAATGATGTCACTTCACAAGTTGACGATGATGGGACATGTCATGCCTTTGCTCAGTCGCTTTACAATTGTCTTGGAAAAGACATTGATACCCACTGACCACAGTCATTCTGATTTGAGATGATATTGAGAATTCCAATGAGGTTTTAGAAACGAACCAAAAAAGTGATTACACTTTAAATGCTTCATTTTTGCAATCACGATCCTATTATCCGGAGCTAAAGTTAGGTGATTATGTGTTCTCCAACACTGGCTTCAACACACATAAGCCATGCAGTTAATGTTGTTGTCGCTTGCTTAGGCAATGAGTAATCGTCTAGAATGGCTATTTCGTACAGGACTTTACCATATTCACTGACAGAAGGGAGTCCCTGTTGTATTGTATAGAAGATGTTTATTTAAAACCGTTGTAAAACACCCATTGGCTATGGCCAGACATCTACTCTGTTTATTGAATCGATTGTAAGGGGGCTGATATCCAAGATACTGACAGTTCAACAGAAGCATGTTGTCTGACATGGACAGACTTTTGTTGGTTGCAGTTTTTGGATCACCCATTCTCTTTGAAAAGCTCAGCAGGGCAGCTAGCACCACGCTTTGCATTTTTCTGAGTCTTTATTTTCCACGTTCTTTCAGTTTTTTTTTCTCTTTTCCCCCTGTTGCTTCGGAAGGCCAAGGAGCGTTAGCCCCGCTTTTGTGCGGTGCAGAATATTAAATAAAGCAGAGATGGCTTGGCATTCATCCCAACGTGGCCACGTGGGATGAGTGTGAGGACAGAAGGACAATAAAGAATCATTCAAGAGGAATTGAGCAGAAGGACGGCTGCAGTTACACTTTTCTCATTTGTTTTGGTTTGGAGATTTTTTTTTCCATCCGAAGCGGCGTTAATCTAAAAACCACTCTCCGATGACTTATGCTTGAAAAGTGCATGGCATAGAGTGCCAAGTTTTCAGAAATGTAGCATGTCTCCTACACATCTGCATCTGACAGCTGGCACACACCATTCAACACGACCGCATTACTCAATCGGAGCAGCAGCATGGGGTGTGCAGTAGATTGTCCGGCACTCCACATCGCACCGTCACCTTTAAGGGCAGTCACGGTGCAGGGCTCGACTTCACAAAGTGCGCCGAGTGAAGGAAAATATTCCACCCCTTTGGACTGACCAATCCCAATTGCCTGGCCCTGGCTCAAAGGTTAATGAAAAGCAGATATCAGTGAGCTACGAATTGGGCAGGTCAAATTCAAAAACCTTTCTTTGGTTGGTCATTTGAATGGGCACATATTAACCTGCCAGTTAATGTGCAATATGCCCTTCATACCAAAGTTGCCTAGTTCCGGCTACGGGAGTGAATCTTTGTGAACATCCTATCATCAGGCGGTAGCAGCCAGTTGTGAAAACAGTTATCCCGGGGAGTGTGACTGTGTTTAGGCTGTGGGGACACGGAGATGCTGGCCTGCGCGGTGAGGTCTTAGAGTGGCGAGGCACCCTGTGGTACGGTGGGGGGGGGGGGGTGTGTCTGTTTTTACAGCTGAGACACAGTCACTTACATCTGAACCTCAGCAGAATTAAGACTTTATCTATTGCATGGTGAGACTATGATCTGTGTAAGAGTAATATACTAATGTATGGAGCTATGCACTTTTAAATCTAGATTGAAAACTCACTTCTTTGGAACTCCTTTTTGTGTTTAATTTGTTGTCCTTCCCCCGCACCTCCGATTAGTACGGTTGGCTACGTATGGTGGAAAAGAAGTTCAACATACAACATGGGAGTGATAAAGGACTATAAGTATAAACAACACAGGATATAGGGTTATAAAAGTATTGAATACCGCTTGGTATTTGATTGTAAAAATAACAATGAGCAGTGGTGACTGAAATTAGTTTTTATGAGCCTTGGAATAATATTACTTTTAAGAGATAAACTAATGTGGAATTGCAGAGCAAAATCTTCTTGTCACCTAATGTGAATACAATTTAAAAACATATATACGTGTTTTGGAATTTCACCTCCGCCAGAAGAAATACACATCATTCAGTGTCGAGTAAGACTGGAATAAATAATGGAATAAATAACCTTTGTTATTTGAATCAAGTTGCATGGGTATACGCAACTTACCGTTTGCTAATATAGAATTGTTTATCTCTAATGGCTGCCACTGTTGCTGTGTGAAGGTGATTTACACTTTGGTTTAGAGTTTGTTCCTCATTATAACTCTCTAATTGCATAGAATCATTCACATGCCGCTTATTTGCCATTAAATGGTATGCAGTGATTTGCAAACTATGTCCATTTAAAAATATATTTTAAAAAATATGGACATTTGTAGCCTGCTCATGAAAATAATGTTTTTTTTTAGTTATCTATTTAATTTGCAGCTGTTCTATTTATCATCCTCAGTCATTATTAATCCACTGCTGGATGAAGGCCTCCGCAAGCTGTCACCATCTCTCATAATCATGCAATGTAATAAGTCCCTTGTCAGGCACATTTCCCCCCAAAACAATGCATAAATGGTACTTATTAAAAAATTAATTGAAACCCCAGTATATGTAGCATGTTGTCCTACACACCAAAGGCAAGACTAAATGCTGAAGCTGTATGTTATGCGTTGGCTATTCAACAACAACAACAAATATGATAGCATTTACCACATCCATTAGTGACAGTTGGTTGGCATAGACCAGGGGTCGGCAACCTACGGCTCCGGAGCCGCATGCGGCTCTTTACGGGCTGCTTCTTGACGATGAGTACGTATGTACTCAGATGCATTGCGGCTCTTGAAATACTGAATTTTGTACCGAATTGGAAAGAAATGGCTCTTCTTGTTATTTTGGTTGCCGACCCCTGGCATAGACCTTGCCCGCAGAAAGAAGTCTGAAAAATCTCACAGTGCAGGCGACACGGCCTTTTAAGTGCAAAAGATTATATGAAACGTGCAACCACCGCGATACGCAGCTTTGAACGTGTTTACTTGAGTTTGTGCCACGGCTGAGATCAGAGTGAGTTGTGTGTGTGTGTAAGCTGCCGTGGTAACACCAGTTTTTTTATATACACGCGAGATTAAACGGTTGCCACATAGCGTACAGAGTGAATGTATGACCACACAATCACGTTCCAGAGTTTGCGAAAATAAACTCAGGGTTATAAATTATTATTGTTATTAGTCAACAATTCATATAGGAAATGTGAGTATGTACAAGGGTAATGACTAATCTGCAGCATGGGTATTAAAGATAGGGCTGGCATTTTAAAAACACATGCATACACACATATATGCAGTGTACTGTATGTTCAAACAGAAGGAAATCTATTTTTGAGCAGAGCTAATTAAATACTCGAATATACATTACCTTTTAATGCATCTGCTGAGTTATATCTGCTGTGTGATATCTTTCAAAGTGAGGTTTAAATAAAACTTAACATTACTTTGGAGTGACTTGTTTCAATTGCACCGTAACCTTCGTACACATGTGGCATATGCACAAAGCATGCAATGCAGACTTTAGATGACAACATGTGTCTACTTCTGCCGCAAAACATAACAGACTGCTAAGTCAGTTTCTGTCCACAATATCAGGCTACCAATATCCCCAAGCTCACAGGGAAGCGATTGCATTACTTTAGCTGCGTGACTGTATTTAATGACGCGCACACGAATTTGCAAGCGTGTGTGTGTGTGTGTATCAATGCTTTCATTTGTGTGGGTGCTTAATGCCAACGGTAGGCAACATACCGATGCATGCATTCACCCGCACCGAGAGCTGGGTTCTCAAAACGATACTTTGTTTCTTGGATCTCCTGCAAGCGATAGATAGGGGTGTGGGGCAAACAGGATGGAGGGCACAGGGAAAGAAGACAGACACACGATGTAATTATTCTGTGCCATAATAACTTCCTTTAGCTTATAAAAAAAAAACAACGATGTAGGGTCAAGGACAGTCCAAGCAGCCGATTTTTAATCAACTTCAAAAAGATTTTTTTTCGCCCGAGCCAAATCTCCCTTGGACACGGTGGACAAAACACCTCTTGAGATGCAAGTGAAAGTGTGAGCGTGCGTGCGAGCGAGCGAGAGCGAGGGGAGAGAGAGGGGCAAAGAGCGAGACTTTGTGCTGGATACAAAATAAAAGGAACATTTCAAACACAAGCGATCAGCAATACAGGGGCAACTGAGATTCCTGAAGCTGCGTCAGTGTCCATTCATCCATTGAATCCACCGACTTTAAGGGCACATCAATATAATTCACAGCTCAGTATACGGCCCTGCTGACCACACTCCCACGCACAGCAATTCAACACAGAAAGCGACGTTGTTTTCATTGCCCCAATAACGTATTAGAGCGTGGCCAAATGAAATAATAAATAAAAATGTAAACGTGTGCAATGGTCACATCCAAACTGTTACCACATGTGTATTACTGTACCGTGTACGTATTCATACCGCCGCATTCATTTCCGCAGTGCCGGCTCAGGTAATGGTGCTGCCACCTCGGTCGCGAGGGTTCAATCCCTGCGTCTGTACCCAGGGAGGAGGACCTCCCCATGTCAAGCCACCTAACTGCAAATGTCTTGGTGTGTTCCAGGTGTTGCTAGGAAAGAATGATGCGAGCTGAGCATGGTGCAAAGTCACACAGTCCACCCAATGCAGCATGCCAAGAAACAAGCTTTCCCTGGCAGCACTTGGCTTTATCATCCATCAGAACCACAAATATAGGGGGGTCCTTTATCCATTATTCATACAATGTTGGTATTCATTGCTAGGTTTTTCCTACCAGCAGTGGAAGTGGTTATCACGATTTATTTTATTTTATCTGCACACAACACTTTATTTCACTCGAACGTCATACCGTAGCTTTCTCCATCACACCATGGTAACAGATAATCGTCATCCCTATGCCATCGCGATGGTCATGCAGTCCATTGGCAGTCGCTATTGTACGAGTTTCAGGTAAATGATTAAACGAAACTATTAAACTAAACTATTCAAATATCACTATGAGATCTATTTTACCAGTGGCAAAATATATTTTGCCACTGGTAAAAGATATCTCATAGTGTAAATGCTTACCCCGAGCTCTCAATACTCTGATATTGCACTGTGTTTGAGTTGTATGCCTTCTGGTGTCATCTGGTCCAACACCAATGGGGACTAATCAACTTCAAGGACAATGCATATTATTATCATTATCAGAGTTGCTTCTTTTTGTTTGCTTTTTTGACTACTTGTGTTGTGGTTATTGCAAACATGATGCCTTGAATTAAGGTGTCAGTTTTGTACCAGTTTAAAAGGGTAAAAACCTACTACTATATTCAAATATCGTTTTTATTTCACCACGGGCATAGCATGCAAACTCTAAATACACAGGCTTCAGGGTTTGGAATAGAACCCTCGACCTCCTGCATACCAGGCGAGGTAGTTAACATCTCACCACCGTGGTGCCCTGAATGATGGTGGATACGGAGGCTCAGTGGTGCAGTGGTTAGCACACGGTGGTGTGAACCCAGTGATCTGGGTTTGACACCGAGCTGAGGCTAACACAAGTACCTCATAGTATCCAAACCGGTCCTGGTATCCCCCCACCTCCCAGCCACGGTCCCTGCCCAGCGGAGCGTGTTGGTTTATGTGGAAGCCTTAATTGAGCAGCGGACTGACAAATTGTTGTAAAGTAATCGTTTGATTCATTATTTATCCACTACCTTATTTGTGTATTTCAATGCCATGCTATTGGAGGACCTTAACACTATTAACACTACTATTCGATTAACATCAATGGATAATGGCTAACTGGTAAAGCACTTTCTCGATACTCCAAAGCTGGTATGAAATGTTGTAGAGATTCAACAGTTTTCCATAGCAATCCAGCTGTGTGCATCTATACAGTATATGTATAAGGAAATGTACTTTGACTGAGCCACGATAACTTCTCAGTGAATCCCTACGCATCAGAAATGAACACCTCGGCAAAATGCAATGGGCGATAAATACAATTTGGCTTATCTCGAAAGCATTTCACAATAGCTGCCCGCAACAATTTTGAAAGATCACATTGATTGTCAGATGGGCCTCAATTATTGGACAACATCTTTGAACGAACGCGTAGGCTTGAGGAGCAAGTGGCTTAGGTGGAGAAGCACAACCCAGCTTAATCCCTGTAATCTGTGAAATAGGATCATAGCTCCTAAAAATGTCACTCCTGAGAACACTTGCGCCTCTACCACTGTCAGCGCTGTAATTTGGCCTCTTAGCAGAGGAATGGAGTTTGCTTTATTGCTTCTGCAATAAAGAAAAAATGGTTGGAAAAAAATAGTGCTTTCTTAAAGAAAACTACCCTCGTGTGCACAATAATATCTGGCGGAAAAGCCCTGTATTACATTGATGACCTGCACTGATTTTAATGTGGGGGTTTTTTTTGCGTAAAGTATACCCTGTCAAGTTGCCATAATCCCCTCTAAAAACGTTAATAATGGCCCTTGTACTCAAGGATTACTGCAGAAATTTAACACTATAACAATGGTGGAACTAAGTGCAGTGGTTTAATCTCTTATTTGCTCATACAAAAAATGGGTGGTGCACCGAGAGCAGAAACAATCCAACGATTACGATTTTGGCCGGATCGCCATTGAAAAAGAACCTCTGAGCTCAATGGGCCTTACCCGAAATAAACTGTCTGATGAACTGACTGAGATAAATACAGATGCAGCAAAAAAATACACGATTATTAAAAAAAACATACTGAAAATATTGTGAAAGCGCATATCGTTATATGACAATGCTGTTCATGGCCCCAATTTGCGTTTTTGTATCCGCACTTTCTTTGCTTTACGGAACATAAAACACATTGACTTGAATAAACACGATTTGCATTACAGTAAAATGAAGAAAGAAAAGCGATTGTTGCTATGAAGCTCCCTTTAATGCCCTGCTGAATGACAAAGTCATCCTCACGGAGAATGAACGATTAAACGAATTATTGCTCCCCCAAATGGCAAAAATATTTCATAACGTAGCGTGGTATTTAAAATGGCCCGCTCATATATTTTGTGCGGTGGCTGCTGAGGAGGCCGCATTAATCCCACTGTTGTTTGGTCAGGTGTGACGGCCATTTTGGACCAATTCTCCGTCGCTGTTATTGGAAGAAAAGGAGGAAGGCAAGGAGTAGTGGATGGCTTTTTTCGATCACCTTTTAACCTTCCACATTTCCACTAGCCACGTGCAGCAACTGAAGCAGGTGTTTCAAATGGGGTTGGGGGGAGGGGGGCGCATGAGCCGAGACTGATACTGCATAAATCATGCAAATATTCGGCAAACAATATTTCAATGTCGTCCAGGGCACAGGCACCGAGCTCGCGAGATCGACGGCGCATGCCGGTAAAGCGGTACCGCTTCGTCTGCGGCGCAACTAATTAAATACCACTGCTGGATTTATGCACAGAATTCTGATCGTTTGGCTACGAGTCAGTTGCTTTCCTGCATGGAATACATTTCACGTGAAATATTTTGCTCACAGAGCAGGTAGCCAAAAGCCATCCTGTGCAACCTCGGCTCATAATTTTCAGACATGCTGGCCCCACCCCTTGTCAAACATCCACCCGAGAAATGTGTGTTCCTCTTAACACACCTGGATTTTGATGAGATTTTTTTTTAAATATAACACAATATTTGTTTTTTTTTTTAAAGGGAGTGGAGTGGTGGTGCAGTGGTTTGTGCACTACACTATGAAATCCTGGTGATCCGAGTTTGATTCCTGGCCACGGCACCTCTGATTTACACACACCTCCAATTAGCACGGTCAGCTACGTACGGTGCAAAAGAAGTTCAACAAACATCCTATTTCACAGATTACAAATTGTAAATGTTGTGGCTTCAACACACCGGTGGGCTAAAGCGGTGAAATATTTGTCTTTGTCAACGTGACACATTTTTACTGATTGGCCGTGTCGGGTGGTGGAGGGTTACGACACATTTATAAATAAACGCGATCTAAACCCAAAAACGTTGATTATGAATTTGTTTATATATATGAAAATGTGCGGAACACAGGAATGTGGTCAACGGTTGGCGTAGACGTTTACATTTCAATCCATAGCACGCACGTAACATTAATACATATAACTATTTTACAATTAATTCTGGTAATATGGCATTTTTTTAAAGCAATTCAATATACTATTTATTTAACCTATTTTTTTCGAATCTTGCTGAACCTGCAAAAATGTCTACTCTTCATCTGTTCCGTATTTGTGCTCTCAGGTCTGGGTATTAATGGGTTACAAATGTGTTTCCTATGTTATATATTTATTGTGTTGGTTTTGCTTCAGTGAATATGCAGTGTTATTGCCGAACATAGTGAGACTACTGAACTCATTGCACATGTGACGAACGTATCAGAGGCACAGCATTACCGCAAAACTTCTTTATAACTCGTCTGTTACTTTTGCCCAGAGCCACGTCTTCACGAGTCCCCAGGTCAAAATCAAGAACACAGCACCACCATTAACCACCCATCCCGGCACCCCCAACTAAAACGTCACAATGAAACGGCATCAAATAGAGCGGCACTTTTACGCAATGTCAAGTTCGCTGCTTGCGTTGTACCCGAAACGTCGTGAGAATTATTTTATTTTATTATGTTTTATTTTTATTGTTTTATTACTTCCCTTCTACGTGACTTTACCGAAAGAACCAAGAAGATGAATCCCTGCAGTCACGAAAGCTTTAAATCGAAATCGAAAAGTTCATTGGGAAAATGGTTATCGAATGTGATTGACGATTCCGGGCCGACAAGAAGAGACACCCTGCT